TTGGTTCTCTCTGCAACAAAATCCTGTTTGAGACCAGAAGGGCAAGCTGCAAATTTTTTTGCCAGTTCTCGATTTTCTCTTATCCTCTGTTTGTTCTGCTTAAAAGAAAAGCCAGCCAAGCATTTAAAAAGCTTGCCAGAAAAAAAACTGCTGGAGAAAAAAACCCAAAAAAGCTGTTAGCTTGAAGAACAAGAAGGAGTCTGCTAGTGGCAGGACTATTCATATGCCCCTTCTAGTTTTTTTGGGGTATGATCTTCTTGGTTGCATCGTAGACAATAACATTCCCAGTTTCACTGTACAGACTGACACAGTATCTCTAGTAAGATCAGTATCCATAACATCTTGTCCGTGTAATTTCCAACTCACATTTAAGGCTACATTTAAATAAATGTGTTCTGTGCATTTCAGCTTGCATTACCATGATTTATTGTTTTATTGCCTTTGGCTAAAAGTTTATTAGATTTTCTGATGGTATCCACACAGCTCCACTTTTTGGGAAGTTAATAAAATGAAAAGCACTTGATTTTAGGAAACTAGGTAATTAGATTCTTTTGTAAAGGTGGTGGGGGGTTGTTTGTTTAATAATATATTTTTTAAAATGTATATACTCAAAATGTTTTATACAGTATATGGTCCTATATAAAACTGAAGGGTTGAATAAAAAAGTTTAGTTTTAATGTGTGTATATATAAAACTAAATGTGTGTGTGTGTGTATGTATATATATGATACCAAAATACCAGAGTATTGCAGTATGCAACCTTTTGGCATCTTGTCTACTGGACTAATATGGCTAATCCAATCTACACTATATATATATATACTCAAACATTACTTTTGTGTATCACCTACATATCTCAATTTGGTCCTTGGGAAACTCTGCCTTGGGCATAGTAATTCCAATAAATTGTAATTGTTTCCACAATTATCCCAGAATTCCCAGCTCAACATGCAAATTTGCTGACAGCTTTCATGTTTCAGATTTCATCCTGCATACTGTAAGCCTGAAACATGATGCCTGTACCTGCTCATTTGCATGTTGAGCACGGAATTCTGGGATAATATTGGAAAAATGATTTATTTGCCTAACTATGCCCAATTTGAGATATGAAGCACTGGCATACATACTCAAAAGGGCCCTGCAGCCCTGCAGACCCATGCGACCGGATACCAGCCGCCATGTTTTGTGGCCCCGGTCCGAGCAGCAAACCGCCGGGGCTGCACATGAAGGGTCCCATCGTGTGACCCATGCTGTTAGGGCCACCCGATGGGTAAAGATTTCCAGGGGGCCCGGTCAGCGCTGCGCGCTTTAACAGCTTGACCAGGCCCCCTGTGATGATGTCAGACAGAGCTGGAAGGAAGTGACTGCCCCGGTCACTCCTCCCAGCTATCAGAGAGCCGTGCGGGAGGAGGGAGTCAGAGTGGGAACTCTGACTCCCATCAGGCTGAGCCCCCACGGGACCCCAGGGAAAGTCACCTTCCTGCAAAAGGTAGGAAACAATTGGGTGACTAAAACATTTTGTGTATGTGTGTGTTTGTATGTATGTGTCTGTGTGTATGTGTGCAGGGCTCGAGTCCTGCAGGAACGCATGGGAACGGCGTTCCTGCACTTTTTCCAAAGCAGGAACGCCGTTCCCGCTAGTGATCCTGCAGGACAGGTGTTCACAGGGGGTGCAACGTCGCTGTGCTGCCTCATTTCTCCCAGTCCCCAGCACAGTGCCGCCCACAATACACTGTCTGCTGTTGGTGGTATAATGGCTGTCACGATGCAGGAGATGTGCCTGCTCACACTACTCTCCCCCGCGGTAGTTTACTGAGGAGTGAAGACTGCAGTGGGCGGGGCATTTTACATCACTTCCTGTCAGACCCTGCTAGAGGATTACCGAGCAGGGAGAGCTAAGAACATCTCTTTTCAGCTACTTACACCACCAATGGTAAGCAGCCATGTTTTATTTATTTTTTTCATGATATAATTATGTATCTAGCACAGAGCTCCACAGAGCTAAATCTTATAGTTCATGTGTAGCTCTGTGTTTTATTGGTCCAACAGTGCCACCTCACTTCTATTCTTCTGATGCTTCCATTCCCCCCATCACTAGCAGCCATCCAATCTCCCCATCACTAGCAGCCATCCTTCACTCACCCCTATCACTAGCAGCCATCCCCTTCTCCCCCATCACTAGCAACCATCCAATCTCCCCATCACTAGCAGCCATCCTTCACTCACCCCTATCACTAGCAGCCATCCCCTTCTCCCCCATCACTAGCAGCCATCCAATCTCCCCATCAATAGCAGCCATCCTTCACTCACCCCTATCACTAGCAGCCATCCCCTTCTCCCCCATCACTAGCAGCCATCCAATCTCCCCATCACTAGCAGCCATCCTTCACTCACCCCTATCACTAGCAGCCATCCCCTTCTCCCCCATCACTAGCAGCCACACATTCTCCCCATCACTACCCACCATTACTCTCACCCCTATCACAAACAGCAATCCTCCTCTCTCTGTTACTAGCAGCTATCATCCTCTCTCCCTCCCATCACATGCAGCCATCCCCCTCTATCCCTCCCATCCCTAGCAGCCATCCCTTATCTCCCCCTATCACTAGCAGCCATCCCTCTCCTCCTCTCATCACTAGCAGTATATGTCTGTTTATGTATGTCTCTGTATGACTTTCGTCTGTTTGTCTCTGTATGACTGTGTGTAAATCTCTGTATGACTGTGTCCATATTTCTCTGTCTAACTGTGTCTGTATGCCTTGTTCTGTATGACATTATCTTTATGTCACTGTATGACTGTGTCTTCATGTCTCTGTATGCCTGTGTCTTCATGTCTCTGTATGACTGTCTGCGTGTCTCTGTATGACCGTCTGTGTGTCTCTGTATGACTGTCTGTGCATCACTGGTTGCTTGTATGACTGTGTTTGTTTGTGTACCTTTTATGACTATGTGCCTGTATGGTTGTGCCTTTATGCATGTATGTATTTGTACCTGTATATCTATGTCTGTTGTGTTTGGGAGGAAAAAGCCAGGCAAAGGGGCTCGTGGTGGGAGAAAGAGACACAGAAAGTGGCTGGGGGAAAGAAAGAGACACACAGAGGGGCTGGGGGGAAGAAAGAGACACAAAAGGGCTGTGAGGAGAAAAGAGACACACAAAGGGGCTGATGAGGAACTAAGAGAAACACAAAGGTTGTGGTATGAAGAATGAGATATACAAAGGGCCGGGAGAGGGAACACAGAGTGTGTTGGACCCCCGTGTGCACCGGCTGGCTCTCTCCACCATACCACCGGACCACCAGGCGATCTCCCCCCTCCCTGGCAAGGTAAGAAGCAGGGAAGGGGGAATAAAAAAATATATATATAAACACATAAATTTAAAAAAAAAATGCTTCCCCTCCTATCATCCAGCACACGCACACATCATCCAGCACACACACATCATCCAGCACACACACATCATCCAGCACACACACATTTTCCAGCACACACACACACACACATCTTCCAGCACACACGCATCTTCCAGCACACACAAACTGCATTCATTACACACAATCTGCACTTACTACAAACATTCTACATTCATTATACACACTCTGCACTCACTACACACACTGCATTCATTATACACACTCTGCACTCACTACAAACACACTACATTCACTATACACACTTTGCACTCACTACATTCACTATACACACTCTGCATTCATTATGCACACACTGCATTAATTGTACACACTCTGCCAAGGCTGCCATCAGAAATTTTGGGGCCCCTGACACAGTTCAAAGTGTGGGCCCCCTGGGCCCGCCCCCGAGTCTGCCCCCGCAGGTGAACATATAGATAGCTATAATCACTATCTATATGTGCACAAATGAGCAGTCCGGGCCCCCAGGACCGTCAGGCCCATGACACTCTGCACTCACTCGGCCCTGCACTCTGCACTCACTACACACACTGCATTCACTATACACACTCTGCACTCACTACATTCACTATACACAATCTGTACTCACTACAAACACACTACATTCACTACACACACTGCATTCATTATACACAATCTGCACTCACTACAAACACACTACATTCACTATACACACTGCACTCACTACATTCACTATACACACTCTGCACTCACTACACACTATACACACTGCATTCATTATACACAATCTACAATTACTACAAACACACTACATTCATTATACACACTCTGCACTCACTACACACACTGCATTCATTATACACACTCTGCACTCACTACAAACACACTACATTCACTATACACACTCTGCACTCACTACATTCACTATACACACTTTGCACTCACTACATTCACTATACACACTCTGCATTCATTATGCACACACTACATTCATTATACACACTCTGCATTCACTACAAACACAATACATTTATTATACACACTCTGCATTCACTACAAACACAGTACATTTATTATTCACACTGCACTCACTACAAACACACTACATTCATTATACACACTCTGCATTCACTACAAACACACCTCATTCATTATTCATACTCTGCACTCACTACAAACACACTACATTCATTATACACACTCTGCATTCACTACAAACACACTACATCATTATACACACCCTGCACTGCACTATATGCATAGGAGTGTAAATTATTTTTTTTTGGGGGGGGGCAGGAATCTTGGGTGAGTTCCCACACTTTTTTCCCCAGGACTTGACCCCTGTATGTGTGTGTTTCTGTATGTCTGTATGTATGTGTCTCTATGTGTGTGTGTCTCTGTATGTATGTGTCTGTATGTGTGTGTGTGTCTGTATGCATGTATGTGTCTGTATGTGTGTGTGTCTCTGTATGTATGTGTCTGTCTATGTGTGTGTGTCTGTATGTATGTCTGTATGTGTGTGTCTGTATGTGTTTGTGTGTGTCTGTATGTATGTATGTGTGTGTGTGGGAGGGGGGTGTCTGTATGTGTATGTGTGTGTCTCTGTATGTATGTGTCTGTATGTGTGTGTGTCTGTATGTATGTGTCTGTATCATACAGACACATACATACAGACACACACACATACAGACACACACACACACATACACACAGACACATACATACAGACACACATACAGACTGTATGTATGTGTGTGTGTGTGTGTGTGTCTGTATGTATGTGTCTGTATGTATGTCTGTGTGTGTGTGTGTGTGTGTCTGTATGTGTGTGTATGTGTGTGTGTGTGTGTGTGTGTGTGTTTGTATGTGTGTGTATTTGTGTCTCTGTATGTATGTGTTTGTATCATACATCACACATGTGTCTGTGTGTATGTGTGTGTGTCTGTATGTATGTCTGTGTCTGTATGTATGTGTCGGGGAGGCGGGGCCCATGGATCCGTTTCGCACCGAGGGCCCCATGGATTGTGTGTACACCACTGATATGAAGGTAATGCATAACAGGCATTTTTTAATTTGCATGTATAAATAGGCTCTTCCATGTATTTCATGTAATAGTCTGTATGTTTACACACACACTCATATATCACAGTGGTCATAACAAGATATGTACTTTTGGTTTCCCAGGGGAAAAAAAACTGTGTGGGCAGGTAAAGTGACACCTACAAAATTTAACAAATACAAATGGTGAGACATACCTTATGAAACTGATTTAACAATGTTTATTTTTCTTCCTCAACCAGAGGTTTTCTCAATAAGAAGAGAAACATTATTTTGCTAGATCAAAAAGAGAGGTGTCAAAGGAAAAGGAGCACTTTATATTCACAAAATTCACAAAAGTATAAAACCAGATTAAAATGTAATGCTTATTTTATTAGTAAAGTGCAAACATATTTCTGAGCAATTAGAGGCCCCTTACTATCTCTCCTACATAAGTGCAATAATAAGCTAAACCTCCCTCTGAGTTTACTCTATAAAACCGTGCATAAAAAGGCCACAGGTGTCTGAGAAAAAGCAATGTTGTAAAACATGGGAACATATGCTGTGCCGAATGCTGAGATTTAATGTTCAGATCTAGGAGATCCTTTGTATATTTATTGTATAATAAGTCTAAAAATGTCCAGGTGATTCATTTTGAGAAAGATGACTTCCAAATATCAAGCATGATTATGTCATATTAATAGAAATAGAATAACGTGGTGAGCACCCAAAGCACGTTTTAGAGGAGGTTGTACATGACCTGGATCCATTGTCCAGAAATAGCAGATGAAGAACAAATAGTCCAGCACACATATCAAGTGACAACGTTTCAGCTACAGAAGGTGGTCTGTGTCAAAGTATTTATAAAAAAAAAAAGGGAATTGGGAGCAGCCCCGGGACATTTCTCAGCAGTGGTGTTGGTGTAGAGACTAACATTTATTCTTAAAATCATCTATCGTAATAAACAAATATGGGGATTCAGTTCCACCACATGGCCATATTGTGTTAACCCCACCACGACTTCACAGTTCCCCAATATCGGTGGGTCCTACTCTAATTCCAGCGTGGGAGGCACATTTTTTATAGTGCTAGTGCTAAAGTAAATAAAGTGTAGATTTGCGTGTCATCCGCATAGAAATGATAACGGAAGCCAAAGGAGCTGATGAGTTTCCCAAGGAGGGCAGTATAGATAGAGAACAGTAGGGGACCATGGACAGAACCTTGGGGGACGCCGACAGACAGTAGTTGGGGGGACAGAGTCAGAGAAAGAAACACTGAAAGAGCGCTGGGAGAGGTAGGAGGAGCACCAGGAGAGTGCACTATCCCGTAGACCAAAATTACGGAGAATGCAAAGAAGCTGTTGATGATCAACAGTGTCAAAGGCAGCAGAAAGATCAAGGAGAATTAGGATAGCGTAATGGCCACGAGATTTAGCAGCGATTAAATCGTTGGATACTTTGATCACAGCCGTTTCGACAGAATGACCAGTGCGGAATCCAGACTGAAGGGGGTCAAGCAGAGAGTTGGATTTGAGAAAGTCGTCAGTCTGATGTACACAACTCTCTCGAGGATCTTGGAGGCAAATGGCAATAGCGAGATAGGGCGGTAGTTGGATGGGGAGTTTGGGTCAAGGCTGGGCTTTTTCAGAATTGGGGTTACAGTTGCATGTTTGAAGGGAGAGGGAAATGTGCCAGAGGAAAGGGAGAGATTGAAGATTTTATTGAGAGGAAGAGCAAGAGAGGGAGACAAAGTGCGGATGAGATGCAAGGGAATAGGATCGAGGGAACTGGAGATGAAATCTCCTTTCTTCCAGCCATTGAGCATACGTGAAACTCCAGCCAATCCCAATTAGTGGCATGATGGACAAGCTTTGGGGTGAGTATGCACGGTCTGCATTAGAGCACCTGAGCAGTGACACCCTTCGGCCCCAGCTGTTTGGAGGCGTTCAGGAACCAAGTATTTCCCCCACCAGGGGCAGTTGAAGAATCTGTATGGTATGTTCCGCTGTCGCAGATGGTCTTCAGCCAGCGTGGTCAATGCGCAGAGGCGATGCCTCGTGTATCCTGAGGCCCAGGTAGCCTGACAGCTGCACATGTCGCACCATGGAGATGCAATTCGAGTATAGTGGGTCCACTTCTTGCCAACAAGATGCTTCTCCGCCAGGCCACCTTTAGCTCTGGCTAAATTTTGCAATCGGTCCTGCAGCTTGTGCCAGAAAGTCTGAAAGACCTAATCCAATCTATGCATAAAGTAGTCAAGAGAGTTGTGGCCACTGGGATGGACTCTGCCAGCTAAGTTGGAGAGCTGTGGCCATCTTGTAACGTTGCAGTAATTGAATTGCCGTTGGGGTGTAAGCTAAAGCACAAGGTGAGTGCAGCTCAACAAGCATAAGAGGTTTCAATGGGGACTGGGATATCCCCCTGGGTTTGGCTCCATTTTAAATCATACTGATAACAGAAATCACCCAAATGGCCCTGATCAAAAGTTTACATATCCTTGAATGTTTGGCCTTTTTACAGACCCCCACACGTTGACACACACAGGTTACAATGGCAATTAATGGTTAATTTCACACACCTGTGGCTTTTTACATTGCAATTAGTGTCTGTGAATAAATAGTCAATGAGTTTGTTAGTTCTCACGTGGATGAACTGAGCAGGCTAGATACTGAGCCATGGGGAACAGAAAAGAACTGTCAAAAGACCTGCGTAACAAGGTAATGGAACTTTTTAAAGATGGAAAATCATATAAAAATATATGATACCAAGCCAAGGTCAGGTGAAGCAAGAAAGATTTCAGCCCCGGATTTCAGCCCCAGCCAGAAGAATTGTTCAGAATACAAAGAAAAACCCACAGGTAACCTTTTAGGAGAAATACAGGCTGCCCTGGAAAAAGACGGTGTGGTTGTTTCAAGGAGCACAATACTACGATATCACCCCCCTCTCACATCACCCCCTCTCATCATGACCCCCTCACATCACCCCCTCTCATCATCACCCCCTGTCCCTCACACATCACCTCCCTTCCTCTCATCATCACCCTCGCTCTCACCATTACCATCCTCCCTTTCATCATCACCGCCCCTCCCTCTCATCATAACAGCCCCTCCTTCTCATCATAACAGCCCCTCCCTCTCACCATCACCCCCTCCCTCTCACATCACCCCTCATCATCACCCCCTCATCCCTCATCCCCTCATCATCACCCCCTCCCTCACACCATCACCCCTCTCCTTCTCATCATCACTCCCCTCATCACATCATCCCTGCGTCATCACCCCCCTCCCTCACCATCACCCCTCTCCTTCTCATCATCCAGCCCCTTCATCATCACCCCCCTCTCAGCATCACCACCCTCACCATCACTCCCCTCACCATCAACGTCAACTCCTCCTCCCTCTCACATCACCCCCTCTCCCTCTCACATCACCCCCCTCTCATCATCACCCCCTCTCCCTCTCCACATCACCCCACTTTCCATGTTACCCTCCCTTCCTCCCATCACCCCCTCCCTCTCACCATCACTGCCCTCCCTCTCACCATCACTGCCCTCCCTCTCATCATCAACCCCTCCCTCTCATCATCAACCCATCCTTATCACCATCACCCCCTCCCTCTCACCATCACCCCGCCTCACAGTATTACTCCCCCTCCCTCTCCACCTTCCCCTCCCTCACACTATCACCCCCTCCCTCTCACCATCACCCCCTCCCTCACACCATTATCCACTACACAAACACACTGCATTCACTATGCAAACACACGCTGCATTAACTATACAAACACACTACATACACTATACAAACACACACAGACACACACTTATACATGTGTGTATGTGTATCTGTATGTCTGTGTATCTGTATGTGTGTTGGTATATGTGTATCTGTTTGTGTGTCTATGTTTGTATCATTGTGTCTGTATGTGTGTGTCTCTGTCTGTGTGTGTGTCTGTATGTGTGTGTGTGAGTGTTTGTCTGTATCTGTGTATGACTGTGTTTCTATGTAACTGCATGTGTGTACCTGTGTGTCTGTGTATGTGTGCCAGTGTGTGTATATGTGAGTATATATGTATATGTGCATACATCTCAGCATTTCGCCTACACTACACACAAATACAACCCTACATCCAAATGTCAACACTACATAAAAACACACCACCATATTCAAAAACCACACTACAGAAAAATGCACGCCTGCATTCAAATGCCAATACGTGCAAACATACCCATACGTTCACTCACACATACTCAATACAAAAACATGCTTACATTCAAACACAACACTGCTTGGTGCTAAATACATTTAAAAAAAATCCAAACCCTGCTCGGTGCTAAATACATTTAAAAAATTTGCAGGTGTTTTTTCTAATTTTTTAAGCTGGGGGAGGGGTGCCAAATATAGGATCCGTCCCAGGGGTCGGATGGTTTCTCGGGGCGTGATGACGTAGGCGGGTGCGTGTCTACGTGAGGGGAGGGGCGGTATGGTGGAGAGTGGCCGGCGACGTTTTTATTTTCCTCTGGCGGGTCGAGTGAGCGTGGCTTGAGCGACCGAGAGCCGGAGCTGACCGAGAGCAGAACCGGGTGGATGAAACTTCGGATTTCAACTCCCTCTGTAGCAGATTGTGTGGGTCATTCGGAGTTGCACTGGCGGTCCGGTGTGAAGAGA